TAGACGTATCCCTAACCATAACACGCGTGTAACAGTGTACGCGGATAAATAATTTCGGGAGCGCCTTTTCTTCTGACTTGCTTAACGAATATCCATATTTAAGGCTAGCTGAGTGATATAGCTTAATGCTAGATAGGCTATAATATTTCACATGAATCTGGTTATAATATACAAAAATAATTTTTCAAATCGGACTGCTAGTTACAGAGATTAGCGCGTTTAAACAAACAAAAAAACAAACAAACTCTTCCTCTTTATTATATTATAAATTATAAATAATAGTATAGATATAGATAATATGTGCTCGATGGTGAAGAAAAACGTAGCAAGGAAACCTGCATGTCCGTAAAATAAAATAAAAAATATGCTTCTAAGTTAAGTGAAGTCCACCAACACGCAGTTATTAAAAACCTTAAGGACCTTAATTTTTTTTAAATTTAAACGAGAAAGTCCTAGTGTACCACACTAGGATTTTCTCCTGTGTCTTGGAGGCAGTTTACACACATAAATTGCACAAGGACAAACATCCAGACCCGGAACAATTATTTGTAGGCCATATTTGTATGGACCGCACGGAACAAGTATTTGTACTTGTTCCGTGCGGGATTCGAACCCGCGGCCCCCAGCGCAACAACTGATTGCTAAGTCACTGCGCCACGGAGCCGTCAAGTTATTGCCCTAAAACCCTCCCAGAAATTAGAGGAAGCCTGTGCCCAGGTGTTAGACGTCTATAGGCTGTAACATTACTTTATAAATTATTACATTCCACGCGGAATATTGCTCGAACTGTGAGGGAGTAAAACAGTGCTGTAGGAAGTTTAAAGTCGAACTGTCGATAGATTCCTCTTCCATTGTCCCATTTCATCCCATAGTGTCGTAAGAGACGATAAAGACAAACTGTTACAGAAAACGGGCAGCAGCATTTTCCTGACTATAGTTAAAATAATAAAAAACTGCGGTTAAAAACCCCCACGCTAGGCGTGGCAAGTATAGCAAATATTCCACCTACAAGGCAATATGTTTAGCAGTGGACTTCTGGTAAGCTATAATGAATAAATGATTCAATTAACCAACAGGAAGGAAATAAAAAGGGAGAAAAATTTGATACTTCCACTGCTAAGTCACCATGTCACCGTGATAGTGTTAGTTTGAAGAGCGCTTTATATACTTATACGTGGTAGAGACATGCTGCAGCTATATTAGTAGTATAATTGTAGCACGAATGGGTCCGCTCGAACGGGGAAGGACCAAGCTCTCACAGAATACCAGCGTAAAATAGCAGCTTAACACTGCTGTGTTTCGTATGGTGAGTGTAGAGAACCGGAGTCCTTTTTACTGGAAAAGAGGCATTCCATCTTAGTCCTCATGGGTAACGATGCATCTGCATTTTGATTCTTTACTGAGGATAAATGTAGATGTCTATGGGTCACAGCAACCACTTACCATCAGGTGGAGTATGTGCTCGTTTGTCACACTATCTTATAAAAAAAGTGTTAAGCTGCCATTTTACGCAGGTAAAATCTTTTTCACAGTTGATGGCGACAGTGAATTGAATAACAGAACGTCATACGAATAAAGAAACTGATCTTCACATGTAAAGGCGTGAGTAAAGAAGTCAGTCTTAACACGTGGTAGAGCCATGCTGCAGCTATATTAGTAGTACAGTTGTAGCACGAATGGCTCGGCTAGACCGGGGAAAGACCACGCTCTCACAGAATGCCAGCGTTAAACAGCAGCTCAATGCTGCTGTGTTTCATATGGTGAGTGTAGAGAACCGAAGACCGTTTTTACTGGATACGAAACATTCCATCTTAGCACTCAGGGTGAAGACGCGTCTGCATTTTGATTCTTAATGGAGATAGATGTAGATTTGTATAGGCCACAGTGTCCACTTACTAGTCACGTACTAGTACCTATCTAGTGGGGATCGTGCTCACTTATCCCCCATATTCTAGAAAAAAAACACAATCGCAGTCGATAGTTAAATTCTGCACTGTCCAATACATAGTTCGTCAGAAACTCAAACACAAATATACCACAATAATTAGTATTTCTTCAAAAATGTTTACTTCTGCAATGTTTCGAACATACAATCTACGATTCAGTACAACAGTAGCCAGTTTCTCTGACTCATACGCGACGCCAACGTCATGTTTCAAATATGTCATAAATGTCTCATTCCCGAAATCGTATCATGTCAATCGACTGGCTCCGAAGTAATGCGGTGTTGGGTTCGACCTTCACCTCTTGGTGCATTGTATCCGTTTAATTATGACCCACAGCCCGCGGCAATTTGTATGTCACCCAGGCGCAAAATACACGCCGCAGATACAGTATAAAAAGTGTCGCAGGTCGCAAAACAATATAGTTCAACTTCAACAATTCAAGTTACAACAATGGCAGCCAAGGTATTATTAAACTTTGTATACATTTTAAGTTGCTTTAAACGATATAATTTTCTTAGAAAACACTTTGATTGTTTTTGTACCTACGTCTATTTTCTACGAACATCCGATCACCTGCCAAGCGTGATGTTTACCCCAAATCTTCTCTGCTATTAGAATAGAATAGAATAGAATGATTTTTATTCAATATTGATTATTACGTAATACTTATTGAAATCATTTTTTTATTTACCACTGGTTCGAATTGTACCTCTGTTCTGGGAAGAATCAGCAAGAAACACAGCGGGACTTTTTTTAAACATAATTTCACTTAACAATAATTTTGTTTATACAATTTTAAATGAATTTTTATAGAACCAGCATGGTGGCGATCACCTTATTCCCAGGGGTTATTTTCATTCATGTATTCCTTGATATTAGAAGAACCCTTTTTGTACAGTTTTTCTTTAATAAAACTTTTAAAGTTGTTTATTGTCAAACTTTGAACAAGCTCTGGGATTTTGTTGTAAAAGGGCATACATTACCCCATAAATGAATTACTAATTCTGTGGAGTCTAGTAACTGGCATGGCATTACAAGCTTATGTTTGTTCCTAGTGTTTAAGGTATGAACATCCTTATTCTTATTAAAGCTATTTATATTTTTATGAACATAGAATACATTTTCATAAATATATTGCGATGCCAAAGTTAATATGTTTATTTCTTTAAATTTTTCCCTGAGGGAGTCTTTACAATTTAGATTATAAATCGCCCGTACTGCTCTCTCTTTTGCAAAACAAATATAGCGTCAATATCAGTCGCATTACCCCATAGCAAAATTCCATAACACATTACGCTATAAAAGTAACTAAAATACACTAACCTAGCTATCTCAACATCTGTGAGACTTCTAATCTTTCTTACAGCATATGCTGCAGAACTAAATCTGCTTGCTAATTTAGATATATGAATATTGACCTTTCGCGTCAATAGAAAAACAGTGGTATCCACAAGACTCAACTCCTCCCCATTTAAGAGCACATTGGTTTTCGAATGTTTTACGTTAGGCGTTGTAAATTTAATACATTTTGTCTTATTGCCGTTTAAGAGCAAATTATTGGCGTTAAACCAATGTTCTTATATCGATAGAGCATTATTTACATCGTCATAATTAATTGACTGCCGTTTGAGTTTGAAAATAAAGAGAAAATTAGAGAAGTCCACATTCTAAAGTCAACTATGTAAAGGCTAATGAAGAAAAAAAACTACGCGTTTTAAATATCGACTTTTACTTTAACGTCTGTATGACAAGTGCTTACCATTTGAATACAGGTATTTTTTTATTTAATTTTTATGTGAGCCATTCTCCCCACTGACCACTAAGCCACACTGCAGCTATATTGTGGTTGTAGCACGAATGGATCGGCTCGGCCGGGGTAGGATCACGCTCTCACAGAATACCAGCGTAAAATACCAACTTAACGCTACTGTGTTGCGTATGGTGAGTGTAGAGAACCAGAGACCCCTTTTACTGGAAACGAGGCATTCCGTCTTAGTCCTTAGGGGTGACAACGCATCTGCTTTTGATTCTTAATCGAGCATAAATGTAGATGTCACAGCATCCATTTATCATCAGGTGGACTGTGTGCTAGTTTGTCACCCTTATTCTATAAAAATATATACTTTTATGTCATTGGTTTCTCGGAAACGACTTTTGCAATCTGGATGAAATTTTGTATTTAAGTATGTTTTACTTTCCAAGTTTATCTAGATGGGTTTCATCCCAGACAAAATCATATTGTTTTTTTCTATTCCTACAAGTACCCCTACATTTTAAAGAGCCCTGATAGATCGCGAGATGAGCACTTACGTTAACATTTCACTTACGCAAACAAGCCGAATTCGATCCCCGCCAGCACTGATGTAATTTTAAATGCTGATAAATGAGTGTTCGACGATGACATTATGAGTAAACTTGTATATCTGACTTATTAATAAAAAATCGAGAACATGTAAAGTCAGCTAACACGTGCCTACTATAAAGACAGCTCGACTAGTAGTAGGGAATAGACCCCTACTACAAAAAACCTCTCAGAAATTAGTAAGATTATTATTATTGATTATTATTTTTATTTTTATTGTTATTTCGACTTGATATAATAATACATTATAATGTCCTCCAGACCGAATATCGGTCACGGCGGCCAGACTCAACGGAGGATAGCCATCGGCGCAGGACAGGATTATAGTGCCCAAGTGTATACGCAAGCACAGGTGCAGTCTCTATTCCCTCACTATCATAATCCGATGGTTAACTTACACGACCGGAGAGAGATCAGGGGCAGGACCAACGGCTTTACGTGCTTTCTTAGATACGGGGGTGAAGAAACACCACCATATTCCTGACTCCGGGTTACTACTGAGAATTGCTTGAAAGAAAACTCTAACTTATAATATTTTAGACCCAAACAATAATTCCAACCCGAGACATCATTAGATCATAGATAGATAGACATATCATCACTAGATCAACGAAACAGTCAAAGTCTTCATATAACAATGATACTTATTTATATTCTGTGAATGTTCATTTCAGTTCTTCGTACTCTTCTCTCTGGCCGTCGCAGCCACAGCCCTACCGGTCGTCCCACTTGCCAAAGTGGCCTACGCTGAACCCGAGGCGCCCGCACACTACGAATTCCAATACTCCGTCCACGACGAACACAGCGGCGACATCAAACAACAACATGAAGCCCGCGCTGGAGATGCCCTTCAGGGCTCCTACTCCTTAGTACAGCCCGATGGTGTACACCGCATTGTAGACTACACTGCCGACGAGGAGCACGGTTTCAACGCCATAGTTCGTTATGAAGGACACCCCTCTGCAGCGCCCGCCAAGATTGCTTATGCTGCAGCCCCCGTTGCATACGCAGCGCCAAAGTTCGCATACGCCCCCGTCGCCAAGGTCGCCTATGCCGCCCCCGTAGCCAAGGTCGCCTACTCCTCTCCTCTTACCCAAGTTTCCTTCTCCTCTCCGGCTATCTCCTACCATCACTAGACTGTAGAATAATTGTTATATATAATTGTTGAAGTTGACCTATTTATTGGTGTACGAAGTAACTAATAAATTATTTATTGACATTTTATCATTGTTTATCATTTAAAACGATATAAAAATCACTCCGTTTAATAATAACGAATCGATTTTGTTGCCTAAATACAAAATGCATATTAGGTCTATATGTGTTATACGTTTTATTACTGAACAGATCCTCCGGTCAATTTTAATATTTTTTCTTAGGTCTTGCTTGATCAAAAAATGTACATAAAACTATATAATGATAGTTTGGGATGTAGTCCTGCATTTTCAACTACTTAAGAGTTTTTCATATTGTCGCAGAGCAAAGAACACCCATTGTAAATTCTATACGTTACTCTGGTTCTACTGCGGATATCCTCATTTCTAAGTATAAGTATGATATGCTTCTTATTTTCCGTAGTATTCTGTCCAATCACGACCGCTATGACGTCATATTACTAAAATATATTGTCAACTGGGCATGGCATGCTATAGTGTCTTCACTGTACATCCATAGCTAAAGAAGTAATCATTCTAAACTTCTTGTATCCGTATGAGATAAGTTCGAAAGAAAAATGCACTTTCAAAACATAAAATTACCAGAGTTTGTTCACTGTCAAAATTCATATTGTGTAAGAATTATGATACACAGAGGCGACACACCTCATATATATAAATTATTAATACGAAATATATTTATATACCACGTGCTCGCCGGTGAAAAAAAACGTAGCAAGGAAACCTCTATGTCCGTAAAATTAAAAAAATATACTTCTAAGATAAGTGAAGTTCACCAACAGGCAGTTATTGTCCTAAACCCCTCTCAGAAATTAGAGGAGGCCTGTGCCCAGGTGTTAGACGTCTATAGGCTGTAACAGTACTTTATAAATTATTACATTCCACGCGGAATATTGCCCGAACTGTGAGGGAGGAATTAAAGAAAACAGTGCTGTAGGAAGTTTTAAAGTCGAACTGTCGATAGATTCATCTTCCGTTACCCAATTTCATCCCATAGTGTCGTAAGAGACGATAAGGAATAATAATAAAATAACAGGAATCGAGCAGCAGCATTTTCCTGACAATAGTTAAAATAATAAAAAACTGCGGTTATTTATTATTTTAAATCGAAATTCAAGGCCATTCCCGCGGCCTCCGCCTCCATCATGGCGGCTGCGGAGGCCAACTTTGCTGGGGCTGGGCCTAATGCGGACGAGGTGGCGAAGCTGCGGGCGGACGTGGCCCGCCTGACGTCCGCCATGGAGACTCTCCAGAAGGAGAATGAGAAGCTCCGCGCAGACCTGGCCAGTCTACATGAGCCTGCCTCTTGCGCGGCGCCCCAGACGCAGCGCCCAAGCTAGCCCGTGCCGGTGGAGAACCAGGTTCTGAACCTGGTCCGGCAGGAGCTGGCTGCCTTCCAGCACCGGTTCTCCGTGCTAGAGGGCATCGTCCTGCGCCACCCCCTAGGGGCAAACAAGACGGCGGCGAGGCCGGCAACGGCTTCTTACGCGACGGTCACGGCTGCCGCATCCAGGCCGGGGCCGTCCAGCCAGCCCTCGGGTGGGGCTGCAGTTGCCCCTCCCCCCCCCCTGAAAAGCCGGCTCCGGCAAAACCGATACCGGCTGAACCGGCTCCGGCTAAGCCGGCGACGGGAAAGAGAGGCAAGGCGAAGGCGAAAAAGGGCAAGGCGGCAGCACAGGTGATGGCTGCGCCAGCCCCTGTGCCTGCGGCGAATGGGCCAGCACCAGCGGCAAGCCAGCTGCCGCCGCCGCCACCGCCCCCCCAGCTCCCTACACCTCCCGCGGCAGAAGCCGGTTGGCAGGTTGTCGGGGACAAACAGAAGGGGAAGAAGGCAGCCAAAAAGACCGGACACATATCGGCGACCTGCTGCGCCACGCCGCACTGTGATGCAAGAGCAGGAGCGGCAGCGCCAGTTCAGGGCGCGCAAGATCGCGGCTAGGCTCCGCGCCCCGAAGACCGCAGCTGTAGTGATTACACTACAGCCGGACGCGGAAAAGAAGGGCGTTACCTACCGCGATCTGCTCGCGAAGGCGAAAGAGGCGGTGGATCTCGGGGAGCCCAGGATCACTGGGGGCCTCCGGCTCAAAGTCACCCAGACGGGTCCCCGTATGCTGGAGATCCCCGGGGAATCCAGTGGCGCGACTGCGGACGCTCTGGCTGCGAAGCTCAGAGCGTCCCTGAACGCGGACGAGGCCCGAGTGTCCAGGCCCGTCAGATGCGCAGACCTGCGCATCATGGGTCTGGACGACTCGGTATTGGAGGAGGAGTTGGTGGCCGCCGCGCCAGGTCCGGGGGGTGCACTACTGACCAGGTCAGGTCAGGCGCCATACGCCCGGATCAACAGGGTATGCATGCCACCACGGTGTGCTGCTCTGTTACGGCGGCCAAAACCATAGTGGAGGGCCGAAGGCTTCTGGTGGGCTGGGTCTCAGCGCAGGTTAAGCTGCTGGAGCCCAGACCTCTGAGGTGCTACCGCTGTCTCGTGGGGCATCACGTATCAGTGAAATGCGCCTCGGAGGTTGACCGCAGTGGCCTCTGCTTTCGCTGCTGTCAGCCCGGACACATATCGGCGACCTGCTGCGCCACGCCGCACTGTGATGCATGTGCGGCGACCGGCAAGCCAGCCGATCACTGGGCCGGAAGCAGGGCCTGCGTGTCACCCGCCAAGGCCAAGGCCGCGGGTAGGGGAGGGCCCTCCTCCGCCGCCACCGCCTCTATGGCCACCGCCGCAGCTGCAACTGCCGCCGCCGCCGCTGTCACTGTCGCCGCCGCCGCCGCCGCGACACCGACGCCTGCAGAGGGGCGCCCCGTGGAGGAAGCTGTCTGCTGCCTATAACGGCCCCATTATTTTATATATTATTATATACGGCTTCCTCCAGGCGAATATCAACCACTGCGCCTGCGCTCAGGATCTGTTGCTCCAGAGCATGGCGCAGTGGTCGATTAACATCGCTGTGGTCGCTGAGCCGTATTTTGTCTGGCCTAGGAAGGACTGGGTGACGGACCTTAACGGCTCAGTGGCCATCATCTCTTCGGCCGCCGCCGGTACCCCGACCCTTGAAGGTGTCAGGAGGGGTCAGGGGTGCGTAGCAGCACGGTTCGGGGAGTTCGTCGTTGTGGGGGTGTACTTCTCCCCGAACCGATCTCTCGCCAAGCTCCACAACTCTCTTGCAGAGCTGAGAGCAGTCGTCGTCGGAAGCTATCCCCTCCCCGTGCTTCTCCTCGGGGACTTCAATGCCAAGAACTTGGCTTGGGGTTCTCGTCGTACAGATGTGCGGGGTAGGATGGTGGAAGACTGTACTCTGGAGACAGGCCTGGTCGTCCTAAATCGGGGTTCTGACCCCACGTGTGTGCGGATGCGGGGCGAGTCGGTGGTGGACATTTCGTTCGCTAGCCCCGCTCTGTCGCCGCGTGCCATTGACTGGCGAGTCATGGAGGGGGTGGAGACCTACTCCGACCACCGGTACATCCGGTTTGACGTCTCCACCCAGACCTCGAGCGCGCCAGTCCAACAGGCCCCGAGTGGTCCGCGTTGGGCGCTGAAGCAGCTGGACCGGGAGCTCCTCCTGGAAGCCTCGATCGTGCAGGCCTGGGTGTCATCACCAGATAGGCCTGCCGACGTCAATGATGAGGCAGGGTGGTTCCAGGAGGCCATGTCCGAGATATGTGACGTGGCAATGCCCCGCGTCCGGCCAGGAAGCGCCCGGCGCCAGGTGTATTGGTGGTCGCGTGAGCTGACGTCTCTGCGCGAGGCATGTGTCGCCGCGCGGCACCTGTACGCCAGGCATCGCAGGCTCCGCATTCGTCCACCGAATGCGGCAGCCATTGAGGCGGAGCTGTACGAGGGATACAGAGCGGCGAAGACCGCCCTCCGGGAGGCTGTCATGCGGGCCCGGGATCGGGCCCGTGAGGAGATGCTGGAGACTCTCGACAGAGATCCGTGGGGGCGCCCTTACAAGATGGTGCGGGATAAACTCCGCACCTGGGCCCCCCCGCTGACGCAGAGTCTCCGGCCTCAGCTCGTGGAGGACGTGGTGAGCGCTCTGTTTCCTGCGCGAGGGGAACATCCACCCCCGCCTATGGCTCCGCCACCTGCGGTGCCGGAAGCGGACCACCAGGACGATGACGACGGCATCCCGGAAGGAAGCCGGGGCGCCCTGCGGACTCTCCGTCCGCATACCGGCCCGTGGTGCTGCTCGACGAGGTGGGCAAGCTCTTTGAAAGAGTCATTGCAAACCGCCTCGCCGAGCACCTTGCGGAGACGGGGCCGGATCTTGCGGAACACCAGTTTGGTTTCCGCAAGAGGCGCTCTACGGTGGACGCCATCATGCGCGTGAGAGCCCTCACGACGGGGGATGCAGTGGCCAGGGGGGGGGGGGGTTGTTTTGGCGGTGTCTCTCGACATCGCCAACGCCTTCAACTCCATGCCCTGGAGCTGCATTAGGGAGGCACTCCGGTATCACCGGGTACCGACCTATCTCCGTCGTATAGTCGGGGACTATCTGACGGATAGGGCCGTCATCTACCCCGGTCGCAACGGTGAGTGGAACCGGCGAGAGATGTCGTGCGGTGTCCCACAGGGTTCGGTTCTGGGGCCGCCCCTGTGGAACATCGGTTACGACTGGGTGCTGCGCGCCGACCTCCCTACCAGCGTCAGCGTAGTTTGCTACGCTGACGACACGCTGGTACTGGCACAGGGGGGGGTCGTACAAGGCGGCGGCGGAAAATATGACACGCGGGGTTGCGATAGTCGTTGAGAGGATCCGGCAGCTGGGTCTTGAGGTGGCTCTGCACAAGTCCGAGGCCATGCACTTCCATGGTCCTCGGAACAGGCCACCACCGGGATCCTCAGCGATGGTAGGAGGGGTATCCATCGGCGTCAAGTCGACGTTGAAGTACCTAGGACTCGTCCTCGACGGCCG